GTGGGGTGCGGGGCACGGGCGGGCCGCCTGCGCTGCCCTTCTCCCCTTGTCCGCCCCTCGGTGTCCCTCAGGTCCCCCCCGAAATATTTCGGGATGTATCCCCGCGTTCGGCTTTGCTACTGCTTGAATAACACGCTGCTCGTCTGGGATCAGCGGTAAGGAGGGCGGGGTAACAACTTACTTTAAATGCACTCTGGTTAAACTCGGTAGTAACTTCAAGAACTCCAAGATGGGCATAAAGTCATTGCAGTTCAGCGTACGAGTACCAGATGTGAGTTTCTCCAGAGGCACAGCTTAGTTTTTATTCTGTTAAAATATCCGGTGCTGCATTTCAGTCAGATGACTTTTTTATTTTATAATAACACGAATAATTTTGAAGTTTTTTCTTGTTTCTTCTTTCCTCATGAAAGATGAGGGGGAAGCAGTGAGAATGATTCTGTGCAAAACGGTGACAAATGCTCCCAGGACAGCAACTAGAAGGAAGATCTGTCCTTTTCTAAGCAGTGAGGTCTTGTCTGTTTCCTATAAGGAGAGCTGATGAAATAGCCAGTGCTATTTCAAAACAAACAGCCATGTATCTTTAAGCAACGCTGGCAGCATCTTCTGGCTAGTTTCTGTTGTTACTTCAGTTCCAGATGTTTGTAATTTTCAAGAATAAATTAAATTTTATATATTTTTTCTGTCTAATTGAGCTCTGAAGATTTAAGGAAAGAGATGTGGAACATTTGAATGGAATTCTTTTATCAATTCCATGTTGTGGGAGGGGAGGAAGAATCTAGCTGTGCTTCTATACACATAGATTTTTGGAAAAGGTTTTAATTTTTGTTTTCCTAACAGAGCTGAAGTTTGGGGATAGGCAGCTTCTTGTTGAGGAGCCAAACATTTTCCCTTCCTTTAGATTTTGGGAAAAAAAGAAAGCAATTGGAAAAAAAAAATGTGGCAACTAAGGTTTTGGTACTTCATGGAGCTCAGGGTAGGCAGATTTCTGCTGGGCAAGGATCTTCTAACATCTGTGTGCTGTTTTGCATAGGTGGATAGGACCCACAGGGAGCTTTTTGCAGGATCCAGACCTTAAAGACAACTTTAAATTGATAGTATCAGGTGGTTTGTCCCTTTCTGGTTTGATTGTTAGCAGCAGTGTGGGAGATCTTTTTGGCTAGAGGATGAGATCATTTTTCCTCAGCTTACTTCCTGCATGGAAGCATTATAATTGAGGGCTGCAGTTAATTATACTACTGCATAGAGATGTCAGGCTTGGACATGGTGGTGTTCCTGGGACAGCTTGCTTGGAAAAAACCCTGTGAGGGCTGTTTGGAACTTGTGAGCACGTGTTCCTCCAAGTGATGTCCCTCTTCTGAAGCTAGGTGAACTCAGTGCTTATTTTAAAAACCAGAAAAAAAAGATGAGGTGGAGCAAATGAAAAAAAAAACCCTTAGTTTGTCATCTTCCATCTGACAGAACCACTTGCTGTCTTCTGCAGGGCCTTGCTGAATGGTTTGGATGGTCCAGCCTCCACAGCAGTGGAACACTGTGCCCCACAGAACAAAGATCTGCCCTGTTGCCACCTTCAGGGCATAAGCCAAGCCCTTTTTTTTGTGTGTTTTGCTAGTTGATGAATGAGCCTATTTAGCTGCTTTGTGAAAAGAGCTTTCCTGACCAGGCTTTTGCACAAGAGATGAAGGGGATCTGTTCTGACCAGGGTTCCCTGTGCTCCATGAATGTGTGATTGCTCTAGTGGAAGAAGTTCCCCTTGTGTAGAGTTTAGGTGGCCCAGTGAAAAACCCTAAAATAGGAAAACTGAGTCCTGGAAGAACCCCTGTCTTAGCCAGAGTAACCCCCTGCCTCTCTGCCCAGTGTGTATTTGCATGTACATAAATGCTTTAATAGCCTAAAAGATTAGAAAAATTAGATCAGTATATATAAAATATAGTTTTCTGTATAACTGTATTTATATAACTTTTGTGTAATTTTTTTTCTTTGCCTATTCAGTTAAGATGACTTTAATTTTTCAACCAATCATGTGCTTTTTTGCAACTTTAACTCTTGCATTTCCTGGCTTGTTTTTTTATCTTACACTTCATATAAGTTGTTTGGTTTATTTTTTGTATTTAACACACACACAGTTTTAATGTCTCATCACTCTCTGAGAGGAGCTTGGGTTTAAATGACTTGAGATGCAGATTTGTTTAGCCTCAGTGTCCAATCACCTTGCTCTGCTGTGACCATCAATGTATCGTTCATCCAAGAGAGCAGAAGGGGTTTTCTTTTCTGAAGTGTTGAGAAAAAGTTCCAGTTTTCATGTTTCCAGAATTTACTTGTTGGTTCCCAGGGGCCTGTAGTCCCAAAAGCCAAATTTGTGTGACATCAGACCTCACCCTCCACTCACTGGTTTGCTTTTATTTGAAAATTAATAGCATGCTTCTGTAACTTAATAGAAATCTCATCCTTTTTATGAGAGGCTTTAATGATTAGATTTTATCGAGGTATTTTTCTAAGTATTCTCATTTACTTTGATGTAATATTTGCATATCATTATCTCTTTGACTGTAGTTCACTTTTTTTTTCTCTATGTCTATATTTTTTAGGACCCTTGAAACCAGAAATTACCATAACTTACATTGCTGTTTCAGCTATATTCTTTAACAGTGGACTCTCCTTAAAAACAGAGGTACTGTCATTTCTCATTGCTTCTTTCTTGGTTTGCTTGCAAAAGTTCTGTGTTGCTTTTGGTTAATTTTGAGTGTAATTGGAATATTTAATGACTGTGCTGGTGGTGGTGCTGGGAGCATGGCTAACAAGAGAGGATAAATTAGACATTTAAGGACTAACTCCTTCTTGATTTCAGAAAATTCTTCACAAAATAATGAAAGTGATGGGAAAGA